CGAATTAGCGAACATCCTCCTGAGCGGGGTTAGGGAATTGCGCTGCGCTCTGCTCTGTTCACAAGCTCTGGCTGACATTGCCCTCCTTATAATTGATTTCTAACTTGGTAGTAAAATTTGGTTGTATTTTGACATATTGCCTATGCAGATTTGATTAAAGACGTAGAGGAGGTAGAAAGGAAAACATTGCGGAGTAAGTTACAGCCACTACTGCAGGAGACAAATTGCAACCAGCAGGTTCCCTTATGTGATAGGTCAGACAACACACACTCGGACAAAAACACTCATATTCACCACAGCAGCCTTTACATTTGTGTGGCAACAGAGCTTGAAATATTCAACATAAATGTCAACTCTATCTATTGCAGTTCCTTTTCCCTCTTTTTCCTTCCACTACTCCCATCCCCCACTGTCAGTTTGCCATTAACACATTTCATTTGCACAGGAGACCAGAGAACAACATTAAAAGCAATAGAGAAGCACAAACACCAGATAATGTAGCTCTGGCTTAGAGCAAACTGTCATGGTCATCTTTCACATAACAGTTGTTGTACTGGGCAAAGATGGCCAGCTCTAATAAGGCCAAAGTTACCCCTCAGTCTGCTGAAAAGTCGTTGGAACATATTTGCAGGCAAACAAGGACATTACTGCATGGCGTGGCATCATTTCTCTGTCTGCTGGAAAATAACTTGATGCAACTGAAGATACTCTCTAACCAAGGCTCAGGTAATGCATTTTTCCTGCTGAGGACAGTCTTGAGGAACTTACATGATAATGTAACAACTTTTTTTGTGATCATAAAGGAGTTAGCTGTGTAACACACAGCATTGGAGTTTATACTGTATTTACTGAAAATGCTATCATGCCAAGTAAATTGAACAGAAACTGTCATTGCAGGATCTCCTCATATGCCTTTCAGCCTAGGACAAACAGAATGCACTCTACTTGCTGGATAACCGGTTTTTGAGACAGCTTTGCAAGCATCATTGGCCAATACTCTAAACAATGGAGACAAAGTACTTGCTGGCGGTGTGCTATAAAAAATAAAAAAAACTACCAAAAAAAACTTTCTAAATTCGAGCAACAAGCAACAGACTCATCTTTTAAATCCATAACAAAGAGGACAATTTAAATACAAATCTAAACATCCTTTCTTAATTCAGTCCCCCCCCCCCCTTTTCAGCACCATATAATGCATCAACGTCACTATAGATGTGATACAATACTAAAGCATATTAATACAATGCAATCAGTGGACACTCCCAATAAATCTTCCTACTCGTTATTGTTATTACTGTATGAACGACCTTTGGGCAAGAAACCTGCTCTACCTCGAAATGGCAGAAATGCCAAGCATGTCCACACAACAGCTGAGCTACACAGCTAATTTGCAAAGAGTAACTCTCTTGGCCAGGGTGTGGGAGCCTGAAGGCAGTCTATGAGATCTTTATAACGTTCAATTTTAATACAATGTATTCATAGAGTGACAATAAAATCGTCAAATTGGCAAAAATAACTAATAAAAAACACGTCTGACCAAAATAAATGGTGTAGCGTCTCTCTTTGCCAGAGTAATGACTGATTCTGGATCACTACCAAAACAAAACACAGAGGCAAGGGGTTGAATTGGGAAAGAATCTCTGAAACTGTGTTTGATTTTCGTTTTTTCTCTTTTGGAATCAAAAAACATAACTAATTTTAATTTGTTTTTTTATTTTTATTTTTTTATTTTTGCAAAGACTAAAATTAAATGACCAGCGCTTATATGGACCTCATAGTCATAGCTTTAAGTTCATGTTGAATTACTTTATCAAATATTAGCATTAAATGTTCCAAAAAGGTTCATATAATCTGTAAATTAATAGAACTAGTTAAATAGCTCAAACATACGGTATCCAATGTAGATCTAGAAATGTGTTAAAAAAGGCTGCTACAGAGGAAGAAAATCTGAAAAATTTTCAAACACTCTGGAAAAACCAAATAGACCATCTAATTGCAAATTATTAAGCATATCACCACTACCACCTAAAGGTCTGAAGTGATAAGGTCAGTGTCTTACGGTTGCTAAAATTGTTTTTGTTTAATAGTTATTATATTGCAAAAGTACTAAATTGCCAAGCCCTGACACCATGTTGTTTGCTATATATTTCATTACTTAAGACACAGAACCCGACTTAACAAAAAATATAAACTCCGGCATGACGTCGGAGCATCAGCCAATCAGAAAAGCTGATCCAGTAGTTTTTTTGGGGAGATCGACACTACCTGCAAACTCTTATCGCTTCTGCCTGATTTTTCATTTATAACTACAATTTTTTACTATTGCTTCTTTTTGACAAAAAAAAATAGTTGTGTAAGTTGTGTATGGCAGTGATTTACTAGTTAGGGGAATAAATTTTGAAATTTATAATTTCAAAATATGTAATATGTAAATATATGAGTGGAACCGCAACACAAATACCATTTGATTTGACATATTTATTTTAAAACTGATGTAAATTCAGATTACGTGAAAAAGCCTTTAAACAGGAGTTCCAGAGCACGTGTAAAAAAAAAACAAAAAAAAAAAAACAGCATCATAAAGAAAGAAAAGTTGAGTAGACATTTAAAAATGAGTTAAACAGAAGATCTGTCTGAGTAAAATTTATTAAAATTTAAGAAATAATAAAAATAATAATAATCAGATAGATCAAAGTTAGACAAAAAAAATTGGCTGATATTTTTTTGTTGATAGGAATACTTTTTTCTAACGGTATTGGCCAATATGTGGCTGCATTAGCCAATTCATAACTGCATTCAGCAGATACGCCTTGACATCATGTGGAATGCATGCTGCTAACACCATTTACTATAAATGGTTCATGTTTTCTTTGATTTGTTAATAGACATTTCTTTTTAGTTTAAATTGAGACATATTTTTAACATGTAAAGAGAGGAAGTCAATGCAATATTGGCCCAAACAATCAGCCCGACAATATTGGCAACAGTTATTGGGGATTGGTTAGACTAATGTTATGATAATCGATATTGGCCTTAAAAAAAAAAAGAAAAAAGAAAAAAAAAAAACTCTTGGTCGATATCTAATACAGATAAGAAAACCTCATTAATACAGAAAACATAAACAGTAAAGTCACAATATTAGATGGAGAAAATGGAAATTAGGTTTTATATGTTCAGTCTTCTACATCAGCTTTGTTTCCATTACAAATGTGCGCAGAACTATGCTGATATTCTGCTAAATTGGAAAATACAAAGTTTTGCAATTTCCATTAAATAAATACAAATAAAATTGTATGTGAATACATTTGCTCACAGACTAACTGCGAAAAGGACATGGTAGCAGCAGATGTAAGCACATTAGATTTATCAATATTTCAACCACGGCTAGTGGGCGCCATCCTCCTCCAAATACTTCCGGTCCTCTTCATCTTTTTTTTTTTTTACGCAGCAGTAATGTCCAGTTGCAGATCAAATGACCCATGCAATAAAAAAAATGTGTTTCCATTGCAGTTTTGCATCGCAACCTAAAGCCATTTTTCTCTTTCCAAAATGACAGCGTATCCATTTAGCAAATTTATTTTCCCAATTAAAATTTGTGCAAATTGATGTTTACTGAAAATGCAACTATGGATTACTTGGAAATGTTCCCTTCACTCTTAAATAACCCAAGGTGTCACTACAGGAGCTATAGTGATCCAAAGCCCAGGTGGGAAAATCTGTTGCTGGGACAAGTATCATTATTTGTTGCTTATTTAAATCTTATTCAGGGTCTTGAAGCATACTAAGCCAAAAAAAAAATAAAAAATGTTGAAATGATACCCTAACAATTACCTTTTGTATATAAACACACACAGAAAAAAAATGGAAGACAGAGATGCTCAGAGGAGACGAAATAAATATTTTGGCCAAGATGGTAAATGTTACATTATTACTAGATGATGTGAACACAAGAACAACTTCCCTGATTACAACACATTCATTAAAGCTGTCCTAAATTACTGATCCGTGATCAGTGCTAGATGGTTGCATGTACTTCCTGTTTTTTACAGCTATGCGTAATGGCATATGATGACAATATTGTTGCAGTGCTTTGTTATTTAAACCAAATCAAACCAAATTAAAGCGCCGCAAAATCCCATTTAATTTTTTTTACTTATAAAAGTTCACTTAAAATTCGCATTTCAGTTGAACAGAAACATGGCTACTAACCACACTCTCATCATGGTTACACAGAGGTGGTAGCATCATGCTGTCAAACTGGTCAGAGATTATCAGAAAATGGATTTGGCTTAATACTGGGAAGAAAACATGTTTGTGCAACAACACACAAGACAGTGGGAAAGGATTAACTTTAAAGCTGAAGATTATAACATATTCAAGAATAAGAAAGTACAAGTCAAAGTCCAATATTTCCTATTCAATAATCTGTGGTTCTCCATCAGTGAATACCCAAGAGAGGGCAAATCTGCAAAGGGCTTTATAAAGCTCCATAACAAAACATAGAAGTCTTAAAAATAAAAAATCTCAAATTGCAAGAAGTTTCCAAGTCACTGGAAGTGGGTTTTTTGCTTCTTGTAAATATCCTTCATTTTCTGCAGTATGAAGTTATTTAATATGAACAAATGGAAGGAAAAACGGATAACATGTCAGCATGCCAATACTGGTGAGGGAAATCAGGCAGTTTAGGGAGAAAACAACTCGATTATTCAGAGCAGGAGCAAATTATTCCACCATGTGCAGCAGAGTAAGGGTGTTTGTCTAAAAGTCTGACTGGGTTTCAAGCAGGGTTCCAACCTGCTGGGTTTCTACAAGGGGGATTATGCCTGCTGGAAAGAGCTCAAGTACTCACTGGGTGCATCAAGGGTGATGTGCTCACCTACACACACAGATGCAGGCATTGCCAAAGATAAACCCACATGCGCGCTTTTACGCACAATGGTTCTAATTATATGCTCATTTTAGAGACAAGTTGGGTTCGTTCTTTCCAAAGCGCAACTCACATCTCTGAATCTGTTCCAGGATCGATCCTTGTTGTTCTGAGCCACGGTGCCAGGCCATTTCTCATGACTGATACCGTGCACTGCCGCGTCTGTGATCAGCAAGAGAGCCAAGGCAGGTAGCGGAAAGGAGAGCATCTTCTGCAAGCAGAGAGAGAAAAGAGGCTGACACGAAAAACACATGCTGAGGATGCAGCAAAAGTGAAGACTATAAGGAAAAAAGTCAAATGTATCACTTGAATTAATTACTTTCCACGATCAATTACTTATAATAATAAAAACTTAACGGCAAAACATAATTACAGTTTATATCTGGAAGTAGTGAGATAATTTCTATAAACTGCTTATCTTTTGTCTAATCGGATTATAAACACTGGAGAGTTGTCACCGCGGCAGATGGGGCAAACAATTACACCCAGCGCTCCCATCCCCTTTTTCTATGAAGCAATTAACGGCGTCAACACAATTACCGCCCCCTCAGAGCTTTGTCTTGGCTTTTTCTCTGCTTTCTCCATCAGCCTGAAACTGTTTTTGTTAAATTTGTATTTTTTTTTAATCAAGTCGATCAGGTTCAAAAAGCAGTTGGTTGCTAACCTGGGACAGTGCTTCGGTGTCCGATCTGGAAATGAAAATAAGTCCAAGGCGGCAGAGAGATCTCTTCCCGATAGCAGCCGGCTGATTGTTGAGGGACTGACTGGGGGGGGGAAGCGGAGCAGGGAGCTTTCTCCTCCTCCTCGGTCATCAGACACCGCCTCCTCACTCCCTCTCCCCCTCTGTCTCCCTCTCTCTCCCCTCAGCTCTCACCATGTCATTGATTTTCAGCTGTTTTTTTTTACGTTCACACCAAAGCCAGGGCAGGATTTTGGAGGCATGTCAAAGTCCTGTTCTGGGTGAACACCAATTCTGATTTAGGCACGCGCATCTCTTAAACAATTTACGGCGTTTGTAAAAGTATTATAAATAAAAATAACAAGGTGCCAATTTGAATTTCTTTTCATTAAATTACATNTTTAATTGGGCCAGAAATATTCATACCAATTGAGCTATTCATAAAATATAATGAATTTAATGGGATTTTGTGCAATTCACATAAATTCAGCTCGGCTTTTAAGATCCAGACTTTACAAGAGCGTTAGCCTAAATTAACTTTTTGCTTTAGGGACAACGGCAGAAAGAATTAATTAGATTAATTGTGATCAATCGATTATTGAAATAATTGTCAACTAATTTAGTAGTTGCTTAGTCATTAATCATTAACCCCCTCTCTCTCTCTCTGTAATCACTCTCTTTTTCATTTTAACACTTTTCCAGTGAAGTCACTGCTCTAATGCCTGTGTCAATGTTTTGGACAAGTAAGAATAATGGAAACCACTCCTCTGTACTAAATCTGTTCAGTTCTATTGACTTATTTTGGGGAGGGGGAGCGGTAACTCAGTGCAGTCCTATTTCCCCAAGTTTCACATGACAGGTTTTTCTGTTGTAGCATTTCTGGCTGTTATCACTATTTCCTTTGCTGATGCACACATGCTTTGGGAGAGGAGTTTTGTTATGGATGATTTTGATTGATATCAAACACCAAAAGTAAGAATTGTCCCTTATTTTTGTCTTTTTACACCTCTATGACGTGTAAATGTGCTGTGTAAATGGTCTCATCAAAAGCTGTTTCCGTCCATCCATCTAACCTTCCATCCATCCATCCATCCATCCATCCATCCATCCATCCATCCATCCATCCATTCATCCATCCATCCTACTTAAAGTTGGTGGGGACACTCTAAGGGTGAGGACTGATGGACCTACAGTTACTCGACCCGAATGCTTTCATTAGGTTTTTGTATTTTCCAAAAATGAGTTCAAACATGTATTTATTGAATGCTTTCCTATTGTTGAGAACACAAGAGAACCATAACACGCTGCTATTTATATTTATAGATGTTGGAAAGATGCCTTTTGGCGCATTACAAATAAAGGGCCCAAAAACATTCATGTATAAAAAAAATAAAGAATAACAGCCCATTCCAATGCCAAAATCGATACATCATGCATCCTTAGAAGTACAATTTCAATTTCATCCATCCATCCATCTAGAAAAATCTGGATATGCTGCATTTTAAATATAGCATAGCATATTTTTCATGTAAACTTTGTGGTAAACTTGGCGATATATTTTATTGCATGTTGCATATCCCTGTAATTCTGTTTCACCTTTAAATCTGCAGCTCTCCCTGTTTCTCTCTGTGCTCTGTTTCAAAAGATTTATGAACCTCTTTACAAATATAATGATGCCAGAAACCAACTTTCAGGATATGTAGAAGCTCTACAGTCAGATTCTGTCTGTACAATAAGAAAACATGTTTATTTTAACCTATAACCATGAGTCATGGTCCTCTGAGAAGCCAAGCTTTTTTTAACTGGTAAAGAAGAACAAACTGTTTTCTCAAGCTTCTTGCATTATAATACTAACTTGTATAAACTTAAATTCTGTTGCCATTTTAGCTGAAAAAGCTCTGTATGTCTAACAAACAGATTTTTCGGAGGCATCTCTAATTTTTTTAACCAACCTGTCTCCTAACTTTTACTTTAACGTCAAAGTAGTTGCTGGTTAATTTCAATGAGTGCTGCTGTGTGTCTCTCCTCCAACCACGTAGCTACTTTGTACGCAGTGAAATGCGACCGCAAATCAGGTGTCTCAAAGCAACAGATCCAATTATGTTAAACCAAGAGGCGGGATAGGGGGAGCAGCGGGAGAAAGGAAAAAAACACTGACTCAAAACGCTCTAAACACAGAAAGCTGCACCCAACCTCTGTTACCTTTGACTAAAGTAAATGAGCGGCAGGGGGAAAAAAAGCCAAGAATATTGGTGGGGACTGTCCCCAGTTCCTTTTTATACAATGCATGTTTTTTCCAGAAACTAAGCTTAATCTCATGGTTAAGAAAGATGCCCGCTCTTAGCTCAGATGCTAGATTTCTAATTGGTAGAAAGTCACAGTTTTTGGGTTCTATAGGGAGAGGGTGAATGCTATAGCTTTGCAGCCAAATGAGATTGTCCAGAGGTATCCTTGAAATTGATAGGATGGAAAGATTTTCCTTTTATAATAATACCTAATGAGACAATAACTACTTTCAAGTTTAACACAATTCAAGAAATTCTCTAAGACTACAAATGAATCCAGCAAGAATAAAAATAAAAGAGAGAACAAAAAGTGAGACAAAAAGTGAGACAAATGCAGTCTTTTGTCAGACTTGGATTAAAAAAAGGGAGTCAGAAAGGGCTGCAGGTGGAAAGATGAGACACCATGGTTAAGTAGAGAGAGGATGTATCAGGGTAACCTAACACGTCTTAATCCTCCCTCACTGTAGTAGCCATACAGTGTACAATGACTGACAAAATCCCCTAGTCAGTGGCTGACAGTCTTTTACAGTAATGTCTTGTTTAGAGCATAAATCAGCAAGGTTGGAACCATATTCAAGCAGGTACTAAAGATAGTAAAAATTCAGCATACATTTTATCAATGAAAACGACTAAAGTAGGTAGAATATTATTAAAACTAAGTAGGGACTGGTGGAAAGGAGTCCTAATTTTAAGTCAAGAACAGATTTTGTATTAACACAATGATAAGGTGTGCTGTTTCTTGGCAAATTAGATAACATAGTTGAATTTAATAATTTTGTATGGGATGACACTAAAAATAGGATTTACTTCAGATATTTCCTATTTTTCTTTTAATGCCTAAGAACCAGTAGTACAAAAGATGTTGCTTTTTACAGTCAAAGTTCCAGTGCCAGTGATTTTGCATAGTTTTCTTTCTCACTACTGTTTGAACACAACATACCTACATATTACAATAGGTTGAAGATAAAGATTGAGTCGGATTATTTCTCTAAAACCCAATACATCTACATCAGAATTCAAAATGTAGAAATTAAATGCAAAATAACACTGATTTATATTTCCATATTGCACAAGTGAAGTATACTATTAACCATTTCCCTACTGTATGACATACAACAGCCCTAACTCCATGATTCATGAAAAATTGAGTTGAAGGTCTGCAAAAAAGACACTGAAAATACACCTCCTCTAGGTATGAGTGCTTTCCTCAGTAAGTCCCCTTGTACTATGAAGTACAAGCAGGAGCTTATGTGGCAGACTTAATGGAAACAGCAGATAAGCAGCTTATAAGTTAACACTTTAGGTGGTCAATTTGGAGCTGTGAAAGACAGTCAAATGTAGAATCTGTTTTTAGAGGTGAATCTTGTATTAAATGCAATTCCTAATTTATACAAAAAATGTATGAAGTTAAACATTGTTGAATTGAGTTGTTTTGTTCATTTTTTACTAAGTAAAAATTAACCATGTGCCAAGTATCAAATGTTTTACGTTTACTCAAGAGCAAATACAAAGCTTAAGAACATAATTTGGAGTGAAAGAAAAAGCCTTCTTCAGTAAGTCATGGCCTTTTCAAGGTATATTTCATGTATTATAAACTATTAATAGAAATAAACATTTAATGCTTGTATCCAATTATCCACTATGCATTTCGATTTTATATGTCCTTTACTTTTTATTGTTGCTGATTGTATGTAAATGTATGTATTGTATTTATTCATGTATTTAATTTTTTCTAACATGTTTACCACATTTAAGTTAAGGCTAAACTCAGTTTATTTCCACATTTTCTTTTCTTTTCTAGGGAGATAAAACACAGGAGACGCTTTAGGGTTAACCACTTTTAAGATTAAAACCTATGAAACAATGGAAGGGGGAACACTGCCCATCCCAGCAGTGAGTTTACAGCTATAGATTCCTCACACTGATGGTGCAGATGGTGAAAGGAAAAGACAGAAGGCAAAGAGGAGGAAAACAAAATGATGAAACAAGATTAAAGTTGAGTTTGTGGATGTGTGTAGGTGTATTTAGAAACAGGAGAAGATGCAGATGATGTTTGAACATGGGCAGCAGTGTGTGATGGACAGCATCTAAATGAGTTTTATGTGTGTAACTTTAGCTTGAAAACTGTTTCACATGAGTGGCTCCATCCGTCTGTCGGAGATCGGAATTTATAGATGACACACATCTGGTCTTTTCTAGTCTAGTATGTATACAAATCTCAACAAAACATAACATCTCTGTCACACAAAAATTTACATTTATAGTGCTCTTCAGGGCATTCATAAATCCCATTACTGATGACGTTACACACAAGATGAAAAGAGAAAACGCAGAGTATGGAACACATCAGCAAATAGGATAACATGCAGACCGTTTTTTATTTTTTCAGCTCAGATCCTCATTAGGGAATGTAAACAGAACATGGTGATGATATATCCAATCTATAAAGAGCATTCATTTACTATCCAGATAATAATGAGACTATGGTTAGTATGTAAACACATTCAATTCCCAAAGATGAGGATATAGTCTTTGGAAATCATCGCTACATTGTGGTTTGATGTTCGTTTGTTGCATTTATTTTCTGTGTTTTTTTGGCTTCTAGTAAATCTTAACCTTTAAAGCAAGGAGATGGATGGATTTGTTTTTTTTTTCCCACTTATCTCTATGAAATCTTGTTTTATCACAGCATGGTCCTGAATGACCCCGTATTTATTTGTTGATCTAAAAAAAGTCGTTCTATCTGAAAATGGAGAAAAAATAAACTCAGTTTGCTTTGTGTCTTGAGTTCTTTGGAGGTGGTTAATACTAACCTGTGT